ACAAGTGCTTTAAGTGGTGCAAGCGTATGTTGTCACTCAAAAATTCAGATGAACCTAGAAAATAGTGAGTTTAATTCCTAAACAATCTGGAAGCAAGCACAACGCAGTGCAAATACAGAAAACAGGAAATGAGTACGGTTTACCGCAGGAAACAGCAGTCCGTCAAAGGATAACCAGCTCAGTGTAGATGCCAGTGGTACCAGGTTTTCACCAGGGAATAAAGTCCAACATCCACACAACCCACTCCATTAGTCATTATCCAGAGTCATTGTGTTGCCAATTATTATTATCATCATGACAAAAACCAAATTTGAAGGTAGACAAAACCTAGTGTAGGTACATCCTAAGATCTAAGATGAGCCAAGTCTCACCGACACTACAGCGACAGTCCAGTCTGCTCCCTCATTAGAGGTGATGAAGTTTAAATTAATGTAATCAACAATCAAATCAGAACACATTTATTACAACTTCTGTACTTGGAATAAATGACTTAAAGACATTATGCTTTGTGTGTCACTGTGCAGGGACAAAGACCAACAACAGCCAAAACACAGCATTAATTTTTGACCAGCTGTTTTAGTTTTGAATTTTATATGGACCGTTGACTGTATAAACATTGACGACGTGTCACCACTTCCTACGATGCAAAAGTAAAGTAAATAACAAGGTTGCCTCTTTGGCATTTTGCAACCAGATTCCATGCAGTAGCAAGTAGAATTGGGGTGACAGCATCAGACGCCCCTTCAAAACGGTCTCATAATCTGAAATAAACCGTTTACATGATCAAATAACTTATTAAGAACAAACTTAGCAGAAAAATGACCACGTCTTCATACATCGGCGTGATAATATACAGCATAAAGCACAGAAGTGACCTCTGGGGAAAATGTATTTGATTTGTAGTTTGCATTTTTAGTTTGGCTCATGCTCCATCCTCCTCCTCAACGGAGGGGGCGGGGCTTATGACCTATACTACAACCAGCCACCAGGGGGCGAATGAGTTTTAGGGGCTCTGATTGTGGGAGCTGTCGGCCTGTCTGCTGTTTATACAGTCAATGATGGGGACATAAAAACAGTGGTTTATATAATCCATCTGCTGTTCCGCGTAGTTCTACGTCTCGAATCCCCTTTTCCTGTTTTCTTTCTCATATACCTACTGAAACAAACGGAATATTAACAAACCTCGCAGCTGGTCACCACACTGTTGGCCTGCCCCACGATGGCAGCCGGGCTCAAGTGTGAACCATTACCACTGTTACAGTCCATCTCCATGCTACACTCGCCATTCCACATTAACAGTGTCAGCGTTCACCTTGGTGTGTACACAGATTCATCGCTCAGAACCGGGCCTGTCAATATTGCTTTGTGAAACCAGCTGTTGTTAGGTGTGGTAACAGATGTTTGTGTGACTGAGTGGCAGCACTTTGCTCTACTGCTATAGAGGATTGCACCAGTTTTGTGTTACACTGAAGCACTGCATAATGACTAGCAGAGCCATCATCATCCTCATCAAATGGCATTAAACCAACAATGTTCTCGACTTTCTCAGTGCTCTGACGTCGCTGTCTGCAGCACTCAAGCCCATCTCGTTCTAAAATCTTTAAAATGAGTCACAAATAAGTGAAGTATGGGATTTCACCAGCCTTAACCTCTAAAGGAGAAGCTTCAACACAACTGATGTTTGTGTTCCTCTTCGTTCACCTGAACAGTTTTAGGACTCTGAATTTGTCCTCATTATTGTTATTCTTTTGAAACTTTCCTTCTATAATAGCTCATGTTCACTCTGTCACACACAGGTTTGCTTGTGAGGGGGAAGGCTCCCCTCCAGGAGAGGCAGGTCTAAAACAGGATGGAGACCAAGATGGATGCAGAGAACAGATGTAGACAAAATTCATTCCATTACACTGCGGGTGTGGATGAAGATGGAGGAGGGTGGAGGATGAAGTGAAAGGCATCATTTAACAGGCTTTAAACTCCTTTACTGTCGGTTTCATTAGTCATTTCCTGGTAGGCCAGTTTTATATTTAGACAAATTAAATATAAAACTCCTCTAATCCCTTCTCTTCAGTTAAAAAGAGTTGTACGCCCTGAAGCCACTGGGAGCAGATAGTTAAAGCTCATTAGAGCTAAACATCAGTCCATTAATCGACAGACTTAATGACTGTCACAGTGAAATGCCTCAGGTTTGTTGTCAAAAGGAGGATTTGATCTGTCATTTTCACCTTTTTCTTAGATTTTCAAATAATGAAAATAATGTAGAGTAGCTGCTCTAAAGTTCACACTCACCAGGGGACGTGGTTGAAATCTACACAGGTACCTGGCACTGCCTCACCTGTGCACAGAGTCTGACACTCACAGAAACAGGTACATTTCTGCTTTGCACTCTTCATCACACCACATCCATAACTCCTCTTCCTCAAGGGTGTAGACCGCTATCATCTTAAGTAATGCAGCTGTGATCGGTGGTGACAATAAAACATACCCACATCCTTAGTTATGTTTGGTTTCCTGGCATCCACCTTCAGTATCGGTCATGAAGCTACTGTTTAATTTGGTTTTCATTGTGAAGGTGATGTGTCAGTGATGCTGCTTGACAAAGTCAAGCTGGAATAGCAGGTGGATTAATCAGGAAGAGGCGCTGAACATGTGTGTGGAAGGTGAACTGAAAACTGCCTTTCACAGTCGTGGTTTAGCCCACAAACAAACACTGAGGAGGAGGAGGAGGCTTCCAGCAGCTGTGTGACCCTGTACAACACTGCTGGGGAGGTGTTGTGTGTCCGTGTTGGCCGAAAGGTGGGTGTGTGCATTAAGTCTAACGTGTGAGTGGTGACAGCTGGCAGACTGACACACAGCTGGAAAAGACCGACCATCTCTCCCAGTAACATGCCGAACAGGAGCAGCTGTGTCCCCGGCCCCATCTCCGTTCGTATTAAGTCCTGCTCCGCGTCCTTGATCTTGTGTGAGCCTTGAAGGACTCGGGAGGAAAACGTGACTTCCTCGGGTTTAACGACGGAGGCTGCTGGAAATGAAACGCCGGGTGACTTTGAGATGCAGAAATGATGGGTTAGTCTGGGAACCACCAGCAATGACATACATATATAATAAAACCGGGCTCTTTCCGTCCACGCATAAACAACCGCGTAAAAACAGAAAACACGAATAAAAACCTTCCTCACCTGCTCTCGTCCTGAACCTTCGTCCAAAATAGGCTCTTCTGCGGCGGCCGTCTCCTCCTCCGTCTGCATTTTCCCTCTTGCCACTCCTTCCTTCCTTAGAACCGGGCTCAGGCGGCTCCCACCCCGGTGCTGTCCGACTGCAGGGACCTCCCCGGCGGAGCAGCGAGCTCGCTCACCCCATCCGCAGCAAGTCGGTGTCCAGTTTCACGATAGCGGGGCCTGCGGCAAATAAGCATCATCCGCCCGGGATTCCGCGGAGCCCACTGCCTCCGTCGCGCCTCTCCTCTCGCTGACCCGCTCAGCTTCTCGTCTCCACCCGCTCCATCCTTCTCCTCTCCGCTCCAAGCAAATGTGGCCAGGCGCCTTAAGTCAAAGCCCGTCGCCTTCGCTGCCGCTGGAGCCACGAGCACGCACATACGCACACGCGCGCGCGTTACCGACAGCGCAGGCAGACCGGATTTCACACGCCGCAGCTGCACACACGTAGACAGACGCACGGTTTGTGCACGACAAAAACAAGTCTTTTGACTTGAACGTGTTGGTACCTGGAGTTGGGTCCCCGCTGACGTCATAGAACAACATCCCGCCTCCATCTCTTCACCTGAGCACACGCACACGCGTCCCCTGATGGCACAGACACGTGTGCATGTTCACGCACCTGTCACCTGCACACTTAAAATGGGCACAACTGGTATTTATCTTAAGGAGACACAATATAAAGACAAAAGCTTAAAACGCACATACTACAATTACTTAACTGCTGATAAAGATTTTACTTCACAATCTATTAAAATGTTTTATTTTTTGTGCAATAAAATCGAGAAGTGGTGTGAAAATGATGGGACGAAGACTGGTGTGAGTCTTGGTGATGTGTGTCCCTCATGGACTGGTGCTGAGCTCAGGATGTCCTGGAATTTACAAATAAAAACAGGTTCGATAACACTGATCCTCTTTTACCTCCAGGCATGTGAGGCTGTTTAGTTTAGGATACCGACCTGTGTTTGCAGCAGGACTGGTCACGAGGCTACTGGGTCGCCTGTGTGCGGCTCCCTGACCAGCTGGGAGGCTGGAGGGGGGGGGGTTCAGTCCCCTGGAGACCTTCTTCTTGTTTGCACTGCTGTGGTCCTTGAGCCAAATGTCATATAACCTCTCAGGAAGGATGGGTGAAACGATTTAAGGACCAAAACCACTCTATACTTCCTCTATGCAGACCTGACCGAGCCACTCAAGTGAATCTGAGAAAATGCCATCACCTTTATATAAACACAGCTGCAAAGTGAGTCAGGCTACATGGGGCTTACATGAAGGTTGGCTTCATGCACAAGCAACTGATTATTCAGACAGACTGCTTCTAAAAAGACAAGCCACGGTTTCCTCCAAAGTAAAACATTTCCTGACAAAGGATATTAGCAGTGACAGGCAGGTAGAGGATGTCTGTCTCAGTGTAGATGGTGATATCCTGGGAGATGGATTTTCTCAGCTCGACCTCTCCTGCTTGGGCAAACAGCTGAACCTGTAGCTCCACCGACAGGCCTGCAGCCACCTACACAGACATGTGGCTTGTTTTCATTACCAGTACATGACAAACAGGGAGATGATAACGTTTCCTCATTAAGGTCAAATATGGATCTTTAAAGTTTCAATATCTTAGAAGAAAAAAAGCCAATTTAAATATGAAGCAAAACATTTAGAGCAACTCACAGGCCCATGGTTGTAGAGGACACGCAGGCCTGTAGCAGGAGGAGGCTGTTTCACGTGGAACCTATCGACATAAGCCACAAACAGGTTCAGGTCAGGTTCCCCTGTGGCCCACAAATCTAGAACCAGTCCACAGCACTCATTCCTTTCTGACATATTAAAGGACACTTAAACCCAGCTGTAAATCTGAAGCTACCAATTCCTTGTATTATTTCTAGAACTGTTCATCCATCAACATCCCCCACGTATGTACCTGCACGTATCAACACCCACATTCTTCATCACTACAGTAACGGCTGAGGAGGTGCCCTCCCGCAGTGTGCCAAGGTCCACCTTGGACGGGAGGAGCTGAAAGCCCCTCACTATGGCACTGGGGTCAGTCAGAGAAATGGTTCGACACTTCCTCCTCACTGGCTCTTCCACTGACAGGAACTGGGACAGGACACACACACACACACAGAGTGAAGGATGTGTGAACATGTGTGTGTGTGTGTGTGTGTGTGACAGAGCGACAGATGGAGAAGCACATGTACAGGATGTAGTATTTGTTAGTAACTGCATGATTACAGGATATCCAGGGCAAAACAGGTCACAGACGGTGGGTGGAACAGCAGAAACAGTGAAGCCACTAAATTCTTCAAAGATGAGCTGCAATTGCACATAGTCACCTCTAGATGTCACTGCAGCATATTTCTACTATTGTCACAGAGAAATGTTACATATACACGTTCACATGTTTCATTGGATTTTGTGAAACACTGGGGATCCGTTGACATAAATACTTTTCTCACACACAAGGGAGGTTTTCACCTTCACCTAAATCTGTCTGTACGTTTGTTTACCTGTTGGTTCGGTACGCTGCAGGGCTTCGAGCTGAGGATGGAGGTGGGCAGTCTGACTTTAGTCCTCCTGGGCTTTCCAGTCACATCCACTCGGAGTGACTTGTACGGTCCAGGTGAAGCCTTCGAAGCGCCTTCACCTGGCGTGGACACACAAAGACATCGTTATTTATCCTTTCATGTGTGACTTAAACGGTTTAAAGTCCATGTAACCTGCATGACATCCAATCTGGGAATAATCTGGAAATCAGACTGTGTATAGGAGGACCCTGGTCAGCGTCAGACTGAACAGGAAAGCAGGCTATGCCCTGTACTGTCTGTCTTTGGTAAATGGACTTTCTATACACTCAGAGCACTTTATAGTATTTGCCTATTCACCCCATTCACACCGCTGGTGGCAAAGCTACCATGCCATAATTCACACATACTGATGGAGATGGCCACCGGGGGCAACTCAGAGCTTAGTGTGTTTAAGCTCACTTCTCCCCAGCACTGGCCTGTGACTGGTCGTCGACTGGGCGATTCATTTAAATAAACTAGAAGAGAAGGCTGAGGAACAAACCATCAGTCCGAGGTGTGGGGTTTGCGGGTCTCTTCTCAGGCATCCTGTCACTTCCTGCTGCACGACTAAGAGCAAAACACCTGACGTTAAGCAGCGTCACATTGTGAACATAAATAGACAAGTCATTTATGAAATAAAAAAAGAATCTACTTCAAAACAGGAACAACTAAATTAGTACAAAGATCCTTTTCATTACCTTGCTGACTGAGAGGGTGTTGGGTTTAAAGATCGTGGAGCTGAAGAGAAAAACACAAATACTGTGAATTAAATGGCGTAAGTGTGTACGATTCAACGCTAAATGGTTTTTGTGTGTTTCTATCATTGTGCCTCCGCCACAGTTTCTCCGCCCATACTGCCAAAACAGACACCCTTTATACTGACAGTACAATAACTTACCGTTCTCCGTTGGGGCATCTTTGAGGAAGGTCTCAGCACTGTCTGGCCTGGGCAGCGGGGGCAGCTCCATGGACAGACTCCTCATGTCTGTTTGGTGCTGGAGCAGACTCTGAAACACAAGAACTGGGTCATCACTGTGCATTCATTTAAGACAAACCTGTTTAGATATGTGGCATACTGCAGTGCACAGTACCTGGTATACTGGAATATTTTCTAGGTGGAAATAAGGAACAACGTTTTTCTTCCTCAGAGCCTCTCGACAAGCCTTGTCCTCACTCAGCTCCTGTCTGGAGCACACATGCATGCAGAGAAAATCACCGACCAGTCCTTGGTTACTGGTGCAAATTCACAGTACTTGTATGTAATTTCCCCCTTTCACATATGATCTACCCTGCACACTGCAGTAGCTGTTTAGCTCCCAATAGCTCTTGTCACAGGAGAATCGCAGCAGCAGTGAGTTAACACACGCCGATGTGACCAGGAAATGACATTTCACTGCATGACAGCGATTCAGTGAACAGTGACTCTGAGAAACCTGAACTGTTGTTTTACTTGGATGGAGCCACTGCATATCAGCTAATGGTGAACTCTTCACACCGCATCATAAAACAGTGCTTACCTGTGTTGTGCAAGTCTTTCAGTCCATTTTGACACCTTTCCACTACTGAAACTGGTCAGAGGAGGGTTAACAGAATATTAACAGTTTAAAACCTTCAAATACCTGAAACTGTCACTTCCATTATCAGAGCCATGTGTGCCATTTGAATCTCTCCCACCTGTCACTAGCAGCTGAGTCCTCTGAGATGTCTGACTGCTCAGCAGAGGCTCCGACTCCTCGGCTGTACAGACTAGCTACGTCCACTGTGGACACACACAGGAAGTTAGACAAAGCCTTTTCTTCCCAAACTAGCTATTAGTTAACTACAGCTATGAAATATTGAGGGGGAAAGCTCCTAAACCTGTCACCTTCACTCCAGTTTTACAGAAATGAGAACATTCATTGCATGTGAACTGAGGATCTATTAGAGTTCTCAAACAATATTATGATTCTTATCCAGTCTTACTTTCACAATTTTTATCCTGCATTTTGTGACCGGACTCTGACCAAGGATGACACGATAAAACCAATTAGTTTTTCAATAAATGAAACAGATGTCTGTTACTTATTAAAACCAGAGGATTACAAATACAATGCTACCTGACGTGGCCTTGTCAAAGGTCTGACCCACATCGTCTTCCTCTGCAAAAGACTATAAATACATCATTAGTGATTTACAGTAATACTGTTTAACTGTCATATTAACAGTTCTCTCAGCAGTTACTGACCTCAAGCAGGTTTACATAAAAAAATAATCCACAAAGCTTCTTAAATATTTTTTACAAAATGTTATCTCAGTGGGAAAGATCCTCATGCTTCGACTCATTCAGCCGCATGAGAGTGTGTGAGAGCGTGCGTGTGTGTGTGTGCTGACCAGGACTAGACGGAGCAGATCACTAGCCTGGACACTCTCCTCCTCAGTGCGAGGGTCTTTCACCTTCATCTCCTCTGACCGCTGCATCCTCTCCATCAAGCTCTCTATGAATTCCTGCAGTCAAAGCCACATTTCGACGTTTGTCAGAATCCTACAAAAAAGTGAATCTCCAAATGCTTTTTTTTTCCTGCAGAATAACGTGTTCCTCTCTAAACCAGTGAGCACTAATGGTGCCACTGTATAGTTTTTGCTGTATTTTAGCTAAACTTCGACTGAATGGGACAGAAAGTAGGTTTCCATACGAGTGTTGACAGAAGTTCACATGCATGTTACCATCAACTGCTGTTATGACAACTGAAAGAATAAAACAACATAAACAGATGGTGGCACTGGTTTGTTCCAGTTGGCTGCTGTTAATCTACTGGAGAAGAAGAGACATAATCAAACCTCAAACAGCGAAAAAAATACTGACTACTGCTTTTTTGCTTTATTGAGTTTTCAACTTTCGGCCGTTAAGTGCAAATTAAAAATGTGCATAAAACAGGCCGAGGGAAACCCACCTTATGAGTCACATGACCACGGACACTGACTGTACCTTCAGCCGTGTGTCGACAGTGTGTCTGAGCGCTGTGGTGAAGGCTCGGTGCTGGTAGAGCTCCCTCATCTCCAGGACTTTAGGGCAGGTCCTGACAGGCTGACGCTGCGCTGCAGAGCCACCGGGCCGCTCTCTCAGTGTCAGACCTCGTCCGACGTCAGTACCGAACGGAGGACCTGGGACCTTCTTCTGGAACAGAATGAAACACACAGGAGTAAAGTGTCAGTGTGTTGTTTGGCTCTGTGTACATATACAACATGCTTCCGTGTACCAGCACCTCAACTCGAGGGAAATCGCGCCAGCTGCGGTTTCTGAGGTTGGGAGGGGTGATGTCAGGGTTTTGTTTCCCTAACAGCCACTTGGACCACACACTCTGGTGGCTGGGCTTCAGGATGGTGATGGCAAAGTCATCTGGCAAACAAGTCGCAAACACAGCCACACACTTTACACAAGGTGAAGTGAACTTAGAGTCTCTTCAGTACCCACTACTAGATGCTACTAGTCTTACTGACTCATCCTCTGAAGTTCTATTCTATGAGAATTGTGTTTGGTTTATATGACGTAGAACACTGCACCGGGTGTGTCTAGCAGCGGCTCCTTCAGCACCGCTATGGCAGGGTCAGCGTACGCCTGGCAGAGCAGCTCCTCTACGGTTTGGGAGCTCAGCAGCTCCGTTCCTGATCCATCCGCACGCATCAGAAACAGCCTGGAACACGAGAAACTTCCAGTATAAGATTTCAGTTTAAGATTTATCTCACTGTTACTGACTTTGTGAATTTTGCTTTGTCTTATTACGTCAGCTGACTCTTCATAATCTTTCTATAAACTGACAAAAGCCTCAGAAGAGTTGAACATCACACTGAGGCCACTATGCAGATGTACAGAAGCCCACCTGGGATAATGCTCTCTGTGTTTTACATGAAGCCCGGCCATTTCTCCGTCCTCCTGCTCTTCCTCACCAGGCTCCAGTGTGCTTGGAGCAGGACTGAAGTCCAGCACTGATATCTGCCCATCCTCCATCACCTGCAACAGACTTTGTCATTGTTTCCACTATAATACAAAAAGACTGTTCAGCAAATGTCTGTTGTGTCTTTATTCAACTTATTCCCATATTTCCTGAGACTATGTGTCTCCCTGTTAGCCACCTTACAAACCGTGTAACTGACCTGGAAGTGGTTTCCGTCGGGGTCTGTAACATCACAGGCCACTTTGTCTGTGTGACTCATGGTGTAGCTTCCTGCTCGGTCTATAGAGGTGCCGCCCTCTGAACTGGGGCTTACAAGTGAGTCAGATGAGTACACGCATTTCCCGTCACTTTGGATCTGCAGGAGCCCCGAACTGGATGGGAACACCTTCAATACAAAGACACACAAATGAATAAGCATATAGCTAAACAACAATATGAGTACATGTGTATTTATGTGTGATTTTATATACAGTAGTCTATAAACAAACATTCAGCTGTATTTGGTTGATTTGTTTTACTGATCTATGGTCATATGGAGACTGACTGTCCACTCACCTGATAAGCTCCTTGGTTGTTCCCAGTGATGACAGTCCCATCGGCTAAAAAGACATGGGCCGTGTGTCGCTCTGGATACACCACCACTGTGGCACAGCCCTCCTTCTCCACCAGCACCACCCGCTCTTTGGTGGACACGCTCTCCTTATCACTCTCATATGCTCTCCTCTTACCATTCCCAGCTGCAGTCTCTTCTGCAAACACACTCTCCTCGCTGCTGTTATGCTCCTTTGCATCGCACACGCACTCACATTCACTCAGCTTTATACAACGTCCAGCGTCCTCGTCGCATTCTTTCCCCGTAGGGTCCCCGCTAATCTCTTCTTCAGTGTCACAAGTAACCTGGATGTGCATCTTCTCACTGATGCTGTCGGCACAGCATGTGACACACTCGGTGCAGCCACGTGCACATTCAGAAGCGGATTTAGGGGTCACGCTCTCAGGCTGCTCCCCTGGAAAAGTCACAGGCACGAGGACGTGGATTAAAAAATTACTCTCAATGACTGACTGGCTGCTGTGTTCGTATGTAAGGAAAGTGCTGACTACAGTGTGCATGCGCTGTCTGCTGGTCACCTGCACGCAGCAGTATGTGCCGTGGTCTGTCTTGATAGAAGCTGGTGATCCTGGTTCCATCTGCATGTTCCACAGTAAGAGAGCCATCTGGGTTCTGGACAGAAACCACCAGATCCTCTCGGCTCAGCATCACCTGACACAACAACACACGCGATTTCACAACAGGACTTTTGTCTCCACCAGATCATTGAGAATGTTGAAATAACGGAAATGTGTATACAGCAACTCTGCTTCCAAGTGTGAGACTATGGAGACTATGGCAACCTGTGCAATGTCAGGAGTGATACTGCACTCTCACCTGACGGGTGACGGGGTCTGTAGCCCTGAAGCTGAGGAGAGAGGGGGTGGGTATGTGTTGGTGAGTGGTCCCCACAGTGCAGATACGAGCTCCAGAGGGAGTTGTGGTTGACCAGCACCCTCTCTGAGCATTAGCCTGTTTCTCCAAGCTCTGTTCTGTGCACACACAAAAAGATACAGAGACAGTAGATAGTAGAGAACACAGCTTTAGATTTGGTGGCAGCGTGGTCTAACCTTTCTCGTCGTCCTTAGCTTTCTGTGGAGTCGTGTCAACCTCCGAGTCAGGCACCCACACTGGACCACAATCCTGGCTGAAACTGACAGAACCGTCTGCAAACAACACCTGGGGTACACACAGGTGAAGCTACCGATGTGTGTGTCTGTACTGTCACAAACGTTATTCACCATAGTTACACAGGAATTCTTGATGTTGCAGTTCAGCTTTTATTCAGTTGTGCATTTGATAGCATGCTTGCCCTTATGAGTGTGTGTGTGTGTGTGTGTGGAGGGGGGGGTACCTCTGCAGATCCGTCTCTCAGGTAACAGATGACGGTGCCCTGGCTGGTGACAATGCGGGATAGTTCTTTGGAGAGGGAGAGGTCCTGGAGGACTCTCCCCTCTCCCCCACCATGGAGAGGGAAGCTCTGTCTCACCAACACACCCCGCTCCTCTGAGGACACTCCTGGACATACATATTAGAGGATTAATAACTGATAACCGACACATTTATTTAACACAAGCTTCTTCTTGGAGCCCCAAAGTGCACAGATGAGCACCCTAACAGCTGATGAGTTGTGTTACTCTGCTGATGAGCTCTCTGATACACTGCAGTTTTTCCATGGACACAATTTAGTGTCTAGTTGAGTGTTATTCTAACTTCCAAATACACAAGCTTTGTGTAAATATGTGAGCACATGTGTGTATGAGTGTGCATTGTATATACTATACACTCCTAAGACCTTCAGCATCGTCTCTGAGAAACTGCAGCAGGAGGCCATTAGGGACAGACAGGTGGAGACTGCTGAATGGAGCTGATGGCATTGCTGGCTGGACTTCACACACCTTAGACTACAAACAAATACACAGTGGGGGTTTACAGTTTCATACTGTGGTTTCAGTACAACTCAACATGTTTTATAGCTAAGGTTTTCTCTGTGTGCACATACACTGAACACTACACATAAAATATATTCTGTTGTGTATCTTTGCACATTGGTGAAACCTGTGTCTGTGGTGGTTGAACCTGGGTGGCTGGGGTGTCTCTCTTTGAGGGAGATGGATCCAGGCCTGTCCTCTTGGAGTGGTGGGTGGGGGAGGAGGAGGAGGAGGAGAGGGAGGGAACAAACGTGGAGGCCTCTTGGATCCCCCCCTCTGCTTCCTGGAGACTCGCTAGAGCATCACCAACAGAAACACAGTTAACACTGTCAGCACCTTGGCTATTCCCTGCACTGAGATCATGAGTATTAACATCTAAATGCAAATTAAAGCATCAGGAAAAGTGTAAAACTGTGCCACCTCTGTATTGTCCTGTGGGCCCGTAGACGCTGTAGGAGAGGTGGATTCCATTGTCAAGCACTGCTGAGAGGGAGCCCTGCTTCACTCTGTTCATGTCCACAGGCTCTGACACTGAAGGACACAGACGGACAGTTACGTCTCTTTGGCTTGTTCATCACTATTATCCACTAAACAACAAGGATGGATATAAAGAATTCTAAAATCACAAAACAGGCGTTCGTCTCTGTGGATGCTGCTTCATGTCTTCATTATGTCCAGCACCTTTACAGTCTCCCTTTATGTCACTGGTATCATTGTCCTGGCGCTGAGGGGGCAGTTTGGCAGGACCAACAACAACATGGTTGATGTGTGTGTAGAAACTATGCCCATCCTTACTCACTGCCACTTTCATTAGGCTGGAACCTGGAGCAAACACAGAACAAGATGAATGTCAACACTCAGCCAACGCAGTCTTACTTTTCTAAAAGTGGAGCACAGCAGATACATGTAATGCTTCTCCACATTTCTCTGCTTCCTTTCACAAATGTGGCTGCAGAAAGTAGAGAAATAACAATAATGAGGGAACACTAGAAAATTCCTCTTGATGTAGTTTCTCGCTCTGATCTCACACCAACAAGGCTGTTTGCTGGTATTTCCTGATTGGACAATGGCTTGATTATTTTGAATACAAGTACTATTTTATATTTTAAAAGCCCCTGAAAACTTTAAGCACTCTCTACAACCTCAGCTTTGTCTCTGTACCTTCAACATAGCTGATATTCTCCACAGTGATGCGTCCTCCGTCTGAGGGGAGGAGGTACTGGACACGCCCTGACACGTGGATCAACTTTCCATCCATGCTGTAGCCTGTGAAACCCTACACATCACACACATATACACACACACTGATGTACTACTTGTAAACATAAACTCAGCTGATTGATGGTTTGTGGGTGCTCTCACTTTGAAGGGTTCCTCGGTCTGATGCCGCTCTGTGGCTTCCTCCACAGGTGGTGCTGCTGTAGTAGTGGACTCTACGGGCGTCTTGGCAGAGCTGACGTCTGTTTCTGCTCTACTCTTCTTGGCACTAGACAGAGTCTTACTTTTCTTGTCCTCCTCCCGTAGCAGCCTGCCTCTGGGTGTATCCTCCTTCTTTGACTTCCTGGCCATCTCCTCCTCCTTTAGCCGCTCCTGCTCCAGCTTCCATGCCTGTAATACAACAGTAATATAAACTGACATCTAAGTGTGAGGGACTATCAAGCAATGCCTGCGCCAATGTTTACCAAACACTCTACATTTTAAATGGTGTCCTATTTGAAGACCTCTGACTTTTAGCTGCTACTGACTTTGAGGGAGTCCTTTCTGATGACCGGCTCCAAAGCGTTCTCTTCCTCTGTAGCATCTGAATCCTTTTCATCTAGACCAAAATCATAAGAATCATTGTATGTGTAGTATGGTAGTACAGTACGATAAGTATCGTCTCATTGCCAGAGCCTCGTACCGACAGCTACAGTACCTTTAGACGGCTCTGCTAGGCTGAGATTTCTGAGCTGCCTTTCCTCCCTCTTTAATTCCTCCTCTCTTGTCCAGTCTGAAATGGTCTCTGCCACATGCTCCAGGTACGTCCTATCAAAGAAAAGAGTTTAGATAATTCAGTGTCCTGCCACTGAGAAGGTTCATACTCTATAATTCTAATGATGGTGTTTGTGGTTTGCTCCTTATCAGTCTCGCACAGAAGAAAAATAAACATATTTCTATTGATGGCCTGACAATGAGAACTTTGATTATGACCTGAACTTGACATCAGTGTGAAGGGCTACGTCCCAGAATTCCTTGCACTGGCGGTGAGGGCTCATAGGATTGTGGCAAAAAATGTACAGGATGTTGTTATGGCTTCCTCTGAAGGTGTCCATGCAGCGGTATTCTTCTGAGGCTAACTGGAGCACCTACACATAAAAAAATATATACTTATTACATAAATAAAAATGTAGAAATGTTCAATCAGGTTGAGGAGTCTTAACTCCTGAAATGAACAACATGTGGCTGCAGTGCACAACTTTAAGTGTTGTCTGCCCTGTAATTGAGTTCTGTTATCAGTTCCTGCGATTTTTCACATTAAAAGCCTCCATGCAATGAGAACTTTTAATGTGAAGTAACCATGTGTCTAATCTAATCAATACATTAAAAGAGATCGGGCATATTTAACTTCACAAATACACAAAGGAAAGGAAATTAAAACTGTCTTCTCATGCTGACAAAGACAAAAGAAGAAAGGTCACCTGTGGGAAGACGGAAGCGTCGTGGTGTTCAGCATAGTGCCAGTCAAACAGAGACCTCTGCCTGCAGCACTGCATGTCAGACAAGTCCAGATGGCTGCACACACTCCCAGTGGCTGGCTGCAGAAAAAACAACAGAAGAGCAGAACCAGTACCATTTGATTAAAGCATTCAAAGTATGTGGAATGTTTCTGTAGTAATACAAAGATATAAACAATACCTCAGTGCTTCCAGGATCCTCAGTGACAAATGTTGGACCTATAGCTGAAATAAGTGATGAGGCGCTGAAGTTGAACGGTTCTTAGTCAGTTATTACTTTGTAAAATAAGCAAATGTCACAACATCACAGTAACAAACCCAACTGACAATGGTGGTAACAGACCTTTAGTCCGAAGGTTATGAAGCTGCTGTTCAGCGTAGGATAGTGGGTTGTCCCAGGGGACTGCTGTCGGTGGACGGACAGTATTCAGTAGCACCCCATGGCGGTCCACCCCGGTCAGTGGCATAGTCTCAAATACACTCTGATGAAGCAGACGCTCCACCTCGGGCCAAGACACAGCATCTGCAGCATATCATCACATTGCACATGTGCAAGAAAACCAAGACTGACCAACATCTGACTGCATTGTATTTGTATTAGGATCATTTTCAAAAACTCTGGAACGGAGTAGGAGGTAAGAATAAGCAGCAGTGGGTGCACTGTGCTGAGGTGGCTATCTGACGGTTCTAACCATCTGTGCAGTAGTGCTGTAGCTGCTGTTTGACCGCCATCCAGCAGGATGCGCCGTTTCTCTGCTGCACTGACCGAATCAGATCCCCCACAGGAGTCAGCCTCATCATGGACAACTCCACCTCTGCTGGATCAAAACCCTGAACCGCCTATAGGAAAGTCATGTACAAACACACACTATATAGACACATCTCTGAAAATAAGGTCCAGATACTTTTTCAGTTACATTAACTATACAACTGATTTCTCTGTCAATCAATTTTATACAATTATAAACAGAAAAAAATCAATTTACTGTTATGTCCTTCAAACGCAGCGCCCGCTCATCGTGGTGTCTGACAACCTGAGGGTGCTCCAGTTGCTTCTGACTCTTCTCTGCTCTGAATTTCTCCACCAGCCTCTAACATAGAGAACAAAGGAGAATAAAACAGATACACATAGAGAAGAAGAGTCAGAGGGGACATCTTCAGTCAGCTCCAATAAAAAGTACACAGTTCACACACTTGGCTCCTCTGTATCTGGGTTTAGAGACCTCACATTAGTGTGCACTGGGCAGACACGTGAAAGTAAAATATAAAACATAACTGAGAGCCCTGTCACAATCATCCTCTTTGTAAGGAAGATGAGAAAAGAAAACCACATCTATAAATTGATGGTTGTTTTACCTACATTTATAAATATTCTTTGAATTCTGTAGCAGTGGTACTCACTCACTCTTTGTGTGTATGTGACTACAGCGCCATCTGCTGGACTTACACTGTGTGTATCTGAGGCCCACTTAGTATATGCACTAGTGTTTGAAACTAATGTGGTAATATGCAATAAAACAAATGTCTCTTCACAATAACAATGCAAACAAAAAAAAACAATGAGGTAATAAACATTTTTTCCATGCATTTACACAGCAGTGTTATTCAAATCCATTTTAAAATTCACAGATCACAGTGGCCATGCTGACCCCTGTCCACCACAAAAAGCACCTACAGTGGAAGCAATAGAACGGAGCAATGGAAGAAGGTCTGGTCTGATGAATCACGTTTTCTCTTACATCATGTAGACGGCCAGGTGCGTGTGTGACCTGGGAAAGAGATGGCACCAGGATGCACTTTGGGATGAACCTTTGGTCCTGTCCTTCATGTGGATGTTACTTTGACACATACCACCTACCTAAACACTGTTGCAGTCCACCTACACCCCTTTAGAGGCAGGGAAACCCGTTTTGTTTAAACGAAAAAAGCAAGCGACAGATGAGATCAGTTTCCTCTCTGACGCTTTCTGTCTGCTCAAGCACACAAGTATTTCACCCTCCCCCGCCCACGACAGCTTTCAGCCCCTGTCTCTGCTGCAGTAACAGCCTTCCTGCAATGACACAAGTGTGGGTGGTGATTGGCTCTTTTACTCCGAGCAGATGCACCACGTTCTTCCCACTGAAACCTGAACCTCTAAGCCTCTCCTACGAAAAAAGTGTTCTGCATTGGCCGGGAATCGAACCCGGGCCTCCCGCGTGGCAGGCGAGAATTCTACCACTGAACCACCAATGCTAGACATAAACTGATCCTGTGTTTCTCTCTAGAAAACTGTGTTTGTCCTTTGTACCTTCTTGTCTTCCTCAGCCTGTACTTTAGATAGCAAGCTGCTTAACATGAGGCTTCTCTCCTCTTCTGTGTGCACCAGGGGGAGGAAGCTTTGCAGCATGTAGCTGACCAGCTCATGGTCTAACCAGGGGCCGTCCTGAGGTCTGGGCTTCTCAGCCACATGGGACTGTGTAGAGACAGGCTGCTCTGTGGAAATCACCACCTGGATACACAAATATGGTTTTTTTAAATCATCACCAAAAGGCTGCAAAATAGAAGAACATTTCATTCCCTTCTCTAACATAAACATCTGAGACAATGCAGTGCATTTAGTCCATTATATCAGTGTCACAAACACTCGTCTGCTGAATCAAAGTGCTGCCATCACAGTAAGTAATGAGGGAACAAACACAAACCGACCTGCTCCAGCATACAGTGCAAGATAAGGTGCACAGAGCTAGCTTCAGGGGGAATCGTGTCCAGCAGCTTTTTATAATAACGCATGTCTGCATGTGTAGAGAGAGGATGGAGCCCAGCGTCTGCCCACAACAAAGAAGGTTAGCTTGATATTCTAGTCTGAGCTTTGAATTCAAACACTCACAAAAGATAAGTTTTACCTCGGTCTGCTGGGCTTTGCTCCCGTACTGATTTCTTCTTGGACAGTGGAGTCACGGGGAGAAGGGTCGGCCCAACCTGGCACAAGATTCACACAGAATCACACACAGTCATAAGTTGTGATATATTCAAACTATACCACTAATATCCAGCCAACTGATGATGATATTTCATGCTGTCTGCAGACAACACGCCAACAATTTCATGTACATTTTAAATAAAAAAGGTTCTATCTTCTTAAATATGATAGTAACCTAAATATATTTAGATTTTTGACTGTTACTCTGACATAACAAGACACCTGAAGATGTCCCCATGGGCTTTGGTAAACTATATTGGCCATTTTTTGCTTTTTTGTGATGCTTTATAAACCAGTTAGTCTGCAGTGAAGGCTACAATAAAAAAATGCTTTGAGCATTTTCATGACTCCTTGATTTGAACTAACTCAAGATCCAGCATCACTGTTCACTGAAAAGAAACAATGGTGTCAGCATCATTACCATTAAACACCAGAAGGTGCAACCATAGCTTAGCAGAGTGGCGCAGCGGAAGCGTGCTGGGCCCATAACCCAGAGGTCGATGGATCGAAACCATCCTCTGCTATGTAAACTTTTCTACTGTTGTAGGTTAAATATCTTTGAGGCTGCGCCAGTTTCTTGGGCCCAACAAGAGACGACGCTGTGACGGACTTCAACAGGCGTTTTTTCACTTTTTTTTTGCTGCATTATAAACTAAAAAAATCTAGATAACCAATCCATAATTATAATAACTGTTAGTAGGAGCCCTGTAGTGTAGTTAAACTGACTGACATGTGTGTGTGTGTGTGTGTGTGTGTGTGTGTGTGTGTGTGTGCGCGCACATGCCTCTAAAGGCTGAGAATCCCCCCCAACAGCAGCAGGTATGTTGATGAGTTTGATGCTGTCTAGGTAGTGCTGGTGCTGCCTGCGCCAGTCCAGGCAGTCATAGATGAGACTGGCTACACCCTTAAAGATTTGGCTTCCCGCCTCGCGCTGGACACACAGTAAACACATAACGACTCAGAATAAAGTAAAATGCAATGTGAAACTGACTGAATAGCAAACATGATGAGGCGGCAGCACTGAAAAAGACAAAGACCTTGAAAGTGTTGAAAAGAAAAACTGTGGAAAAAATGCTAATCTTCAACATCTCACCACAGCCTCGGGGTCCTGTGTGCTGAAGGAAGGTGAGAGAAGTGGGACAGTGTAGCTGAGCTGAGCCACACTGTGGAGCTTGGAGTCCGGTGGCGCACTGTCCAAAACTGGTCTCAGACCTGCCCAGAACAGATCCAGCCTACAGGCCTGCGCAGCCAGCTCCACACCGGCTGAGTCTGTGAGTTATGTAATTCATTTATTCCACAAATGTAGTGAATATAAAATGATGAAAAGGGGTGCTATGGATAAAGCAGATGTTTGAAACCACATCAAAGCTGTTATGCATTGCTGATGATCCTCACCACAGTGTAATGTAAGAGATGCATTTACCTGCATCCAGACCTGGAGAGACAGTCTGGCTCTGCTCACTGCCCTCACAGCCGTGTTGTTCCTTCTGTGTGTGCTCTGAATGCACCCTGATCACATTCGCTACATGTACACCTATGTCATTAAGGAGCCCAATCAGCTGGGGCTGGTGGAAGCCCAGCACCAGGATGTAGTGTTGAGGACCATCGTCTGGCTTGTCATCTGTGCCCAAACACAAATCACACAAAGCACTAAAGTGTATTAACGAATCAGTGTATGTTACAGTCATGTTAGCCTCCGGGGCTGTCAGTCAAAGGTGGCGTGTGGTTAAAAAGGGGGTGTGGCAATCACATTCACCTCTCAACTGTAATTTCACAGATTTCCATCAAGATGCCTTATTCTTAACCTGTGATAATATCCATATATAAACTATCATGACATCATGGAAACGTGTTTTCTGCTGCATGTGCTTTTTTGATCATTTGTAAACAGAACGTCAGTATAAACATATACTGTGAAATTAGACCTCTTGAATATAGATTCTTCTCATTATATTTTACATATAAAATATCTATTCTCTCAATCATTACACTACCAAAGTAAATAAACACTGGCTTTACTTGCTATAAGCACAGCTGGTTTTTACCTATGTACTTAGGCGGCTCAGCTTCATCCCTGCGTTTGAGGCTGGTCTTCTTCTCTTTGGAAGGTCCAACAGGTGGGAGCGGAGTCCTTCCCTTTCTGTCAGGGACCTTGGCCCCTCCTTTGTCCTTGCTGGCAGAGGAAGGACCACCCTTTGCCTTCTCATCCTTAGCCTTAAACAGATGTGGACAAAAATTACAGCAAACTGCAACAAAAGACCCAGAGAAAACTTGTTGTTTAAATCAAGTCGCATCATCATATAGGTTTTAAACAATCACTGTAGCTCTTCACTGCAAATATATGACTCAGGTCTTCACATTGAACCTTATTACAAATGAACCCACTCCAGCTCATCAGTGTTACTAACTGTTAATCACATATAAGAAGAGACACGCACCTGCTCAGCCTCCCTCCTCTGACGATCGCTGGCTTTGACCTGCAGCAGCTGGAACTTCAGTATTTTTGCCATCAGGTCACAGGGGATCTCCTCTCCTGCATCCAGCAGCAGCTTGGCACGTTCCGTGACCTTCATACACAACAAATACCAGGCACAAAGATTAAAGCGCACGACAGACACTCGTATACTAAACCACAACACATTACAAATATCAATTCTCTACTACCTTACTCCTGCTACATAACTCAGGCCTACCTCATAGAACACAGGGACACTGTCGGGTTTTTTTGCTTTGGGATTTCCCAGTTCCTGGATCTGTAATGGCAAAATGTAACGACACAATGTTTGGTTTCTCCTTTAAATGCGTTTTTTCATATTTCATAAACTAATATTCATTAACCTAGCCACCCGAAGAAAGACAAATACACAGATAATTGTAGAATAATCAGTAAAGATACTTAAATAATGACTACAATGAGCTTATACATTTTGAAATAAAGATTTTAGAGTTTTAAAACAAGTATGACAGTTCTTTTTTTTTAGTTTATAAATATACGTTAAAAGCTACAGAGAGACACAAAAGGTTATAAGGTGATAACAACCTACTGTGCTATAAGTAAAGAAGCGACACAAGGACAGGAAATGAAACAGCTCTACACAGGAAACACTACCAATAACAAGAACCTGAAGCAAACTACCTTAGAAATGGTGCTGTCCCACGTCAACAAGGTGAAATGTCTGTACTGCTGTACGGACGAGGACAGAGTCCGGAGCAGCGCCTCCTCCTCCGGACCCCTCCCGACCACCAGCGACACACAGGTGTGCCATGAGTCCTGGAAAGGTCAGGGGACACCACAATACAACACCCTACTACATGCACAGCACCCTGAGGTTATACACTTCACTTTTCATTACAGGTGATTGACACTGACGAAACAAACATGGCAGTGACACCGAAAATCACGTGACCGCTGATGGGGAGACAACTAAACTCAGAAACAGTTAAAAGACGGACAAAGCTGCTTTACAATACAATTTGACAGGTTTTGTTAGTGACAGGTGTGTGAGCATAACCTCAACGACACCTAACCACAACTTCCGGGATCGACTTCCAAATAAAAGCTCGCTAAGCTATTCTTCTTCCACGCTTTTATTATGGTGACACCAGGAAGTATGTTTGCTCGTCCGTTTGTCACCAAATTACCCCGTAACTTGTTAATGTCCAGGAACAGCGATATAAAACATCCCAGATTTTGGAATCTTACCTTTTTTTTTACCTGAATGTAAAAACGCATTTAAAGCTAGTTAGCTACACTTGCAACCTAACGTTACCATGTTTGCTCAGCAGGTAATAAAAACTCTTTACGTTATAAAAGATAAACGTTTTGAACAAACTAATGTAGGTTAGTGTTCAGTGAGGTGACAAACCTCTTCAAACGGGGCTGTGCTGAGATCAGCCTCCCAGTTCTTGTTGCCAGCTGCGGCTCCAGCAGCGCTCGGCTTTTTGACCGAGGCCTTCTGGGCTGCCTTTGGTGCCATTTCCACTCTGTGACAATTATCACTAAAGTAAACTAAATAGTCACTAAAGTAATTATCTCATTAGTTTGAAACGGCTAGTTAATCGTGACTTTGCCTGTCAGCGTCGCCTGGTGCCTGTGTTGCCTCTGGCAACAGCAAAGTGACTCTTCCTGTACCCTTTCAAAATAAAAGCATGAGGAAGCACACATTTGGATTTCTAATTTGACACAGGTAATAAAAAACACAAAATATATCTGTAGAAAATTTGTTTTTGTAGATACTTTTGTTTTCATGGAAATCATTTTTTGTGGGTAACTTTTAGTCCGATGTTGTTGTTGTTGTTATGTCTTTTCTCCAGCAGATGGCAGTAGGATATGTGTGCTGGGACTCCAAACATTAATCCTCAAATAAGGGTAATATTTTAAACAATACTGCACTGTTTTCACACACTGTAATTATTGTAGATCCTTATAATAGCACACAGTGCAGTATTCCAAAGGTTTTTATACTCTACACACACATGCTCAGACTCCCTGTTACAAGTTTGATGCAGTAGTTATGATCAGTATTTGTGCTGACAAAACTGTGGCTGACATTGTGAAAGACAGCTGGTTTGTCTTCATTGCCAGGATCACCAGAAAATGGCCCAAAGCATGGAGTTGTACTGAAAAAGAATTTTAAAAAGCATCCCAGGAATGGGAATCTGGAACACATTCATTTCATCTGTACAATTAATGATGAAACCATTGTTCCACCAGATGAGCCAAGAAAAAGGAAATGATGGCAACATCAATAAGAAGAGTCACTAATTAACTCTTGAGTATACAAGCAGGCAACGCAACAGAGGGGATTTAACACTGGCTAGGTTTTTATTAACAGACTGTTAAACAGGTGTATTCATTGAATGTTAACAAAAAATGAAAGGAGTTGTACTGAAAAAGAATAATAAAACAGCAGGGTCAATAATCCTTAAACATTTCCAGGCTCATGTTGCTAGCTGAACTCTCAAGAGGACCAGAGAAGCACTCGGACCATTCCCAAGGCTGCTTATCGATGTTTTACTGAGGTATTTATCTTGCCACGTACACTCACAGATGCACATACATGCCAGTTTATAAAACATTTTCCTTTTCTATAACAGAAGCTTATTTAAGGTTTGTAACGCTGTACGATCTCAGCCAGGTCTATTTGAGCCAGAAGAGACGCCCCATTTAAAAATGAACAACCCAGTGACTCAGTAACAGTGAATTCCTGCAATGCTTCTTGCTCTGCTCATCAGCTCTTATTTCAAAGATTTTCATGCAGCCCATCTGTGCACCAAAATCATGATCTGGCACAGATTTCCAATCAATGACAATTGGAGCAGTTTTATTAATGCAAGGGAGCCACTGTCATGATTTCCCCCTGGCAGCGGCCTGCTTCCAGCCAGCTCCTGCTAAAATGTCAAAAGTGAGACAACGCCCACTTGTCAGATGCCAGAGTTTGAAGCCAGCAGTGCATTCGTTACAGAGGAGGCAGCGTCCCACCAAGGTCACACACCAGCCAGATAAACACTGTAGTGAGGCTTAAATAACTCCCCAACTACACCGCTGTGAATAGCATAGCAACATCTCAAAATATCCTAGTTTTTTGGGAATACGCTGCTGTTACACATCATGTGTCTCTTAGAGCTATTTTGTTTCATTTGCCATCAGTCGTAATAGTTTATTTAAAAACCTTATCCACATCGAACTAATGCATATTATTATTAAGTTAATCTGATGAGGCAAAGAAGAGTTCGGCAAAACCATGTCAGAACAACTAAAGAGGAAGAGTAAACATGACACAATGTTCCCGGGAAGGCGCCACCTGTACTTTACACTCTGTTACGCCCCGTGCCTTGAGGAATCTGTGACCATGTGCAACAATAAATTTTAAATGCTCTTAAACTGTTTAACACTGTGTTTACGTGATAGGTGGTCTTTTAAATATCAAGCTGTTCAGCAGCTCATAAAGCATCATTTCAAATGTTGACATGACTGCTTTAAATAGACAAGGTGTATAAAAAAAACAACAGACAAATAGAAACACCTGTGTATTTTAATGCAATTTACTGGATGTAAAATAAAATATATTATTTGTAACCACTGTCAACATCTTATCAGAAAGGTTTTTGGATATATTTATGGTTGTATTGTATGGTGTTGTTTTGGACCGTACTATATTAAAAAGTGCTCCATAATGTTTTGGCCCTGTACCTGTAGCAGTGGAAGAAGTACTCACATTGTGTAACTGAGTACAAGTAACTAAATAAAGTAAATACTGCAGTAGAATTGTACTATGTTACAAGTAAAGATCCTGCATTAAAAATGTTACTTAAAGTAAAAAACACTGGCATCAAAATATTCTTAAAGTACCAAAAGTACTCATTATGCACATTTCACATGAATGAATATCATGTTATAATTACTGATGCATCGTGGTAGACATCACATAACATAACATAGTGAAGTCAAAGTATGAAGGAGCAGAAAATGAAAATACACAAGTACTGATACTGCATCGTTGTATTTACTTACTGTAGTTGAGTAACTCTACTCAGTTACTTTCCACCATTGTGTACCTAGATGTGTGTAAATGAGGTATGTGAAATATTATGAAACACTTTGAATCTAACACCAACACACAGCCACTGAGAACTAAAGCATTAATGCTCTCCTGACAGTAATAAGAACCTGTCTCGTGCTAACTGCACCATGAGGCCATATTTGGGCACAGCTGGGCTTTAACATCGCTGCTGGTTTAAGTTGGCTTACATGAAATAAAGTGATCATGTTCACACTATTAGCTCAGTGTGTATTTTAATATGTTAAAAACTAACAAAATGATATGTAAAACAATAAAATGCCATTACATCTTCCAAATTGCTGGAGTTCCTACAGCATGTTGGGTTAAATCTGATACACTACAGGTCCTGTGTTTAGGGCTCCGTTGCTCCCAGGTGCCGCTTGGCAGTGCAGTTTAAATCCAGGCATGCTGCCAGCTCCAATAGCAACAAGTGTTTGAAATTTTTGGACTCCAATACCCAGGAATCATGTGGTACAACGTCAGTAAAGAGCAAACAACGAGCTCAGGTTCGCCAGCGGGACGGTTCCTCTGAGTGGAGATCTCATTCTCAGCTGTCCGGGAGTCAGCGCTGTGATTTGTCACACTGAGACGTAAGCACGCCTGGCAGAAAATGACAGAGGGAGATGTGATATTTCAAATAAAACCATCTGGTCAGGTAATTACATGGCATTTCATGTGGTGCTGCATCAGGCTGGCAGAGCATGAGACTGTCCAACATCGGTGTTTGTTACCTAGGGAAGAGTAAATGAGTAAACAAGGATCTAAGCCTACAGTATTCATACATTTACATACAGATAAACTAAAAATCTGAAAGGTGACTGAGAATATGTTGTAGATTAACATAAAAATAGCTGACACTGCACTCAGAGAGGGCATGTACCTCTGCCAAGGCACAACGTTCGCTCATGTAAATGGGTCCATTGTGAAAAATAAGATCCAGAACAGCGTAAAATGTTTCCTAAAACCCTCAATCCAGATCGGATCTGGACCATCTTTTACGGTATGATAGGCAGTTACACTGTGCATCGTACCTGAGCGTATCAGGGTTCTGTCTTCATTATAGGCTGAGTTATGGCAGAAAATATGCGTTAAATGGGGTTTTCAGTGCTAAGTTTAAATGGCTGGAAGATCAGATCCCGATGAAATTTGGCCTGGTGACAGACATTACCACCCCTGTGTGTGTCAAATGATTTCAATACCATTTCAAGATTTGAATTTTTAAATTGTTTTCCCATGTTAAAGATGGAGATTTTTTGAAGCCTTGACCTTTGATCTTTTTTCAGCCAAAAGCTATTCACTTCTAGGGCCGGTCCCCACCAAAGTCTGGACCGAGTATGCTGATGATCCATCCAGCCGTTTGTCCGTAATCCTGCTAACCAACACACACACACAGAGCCAAAAACTTAAGCTCCTTGGCGGAGGTAAATAGAGTTGTTTACAGTGATTGTACACAAACACCCAGGAGACAGATAAACATATCTGTATCATAAAATAACTCCGGTCTCAGCGTGGCATAGGTGTAGCCTTTAAACAAGTTCATCAGATTTCCATTTCCCCAGAAAGTGGTTGCTCTGTGGGTGAGGAGAGAACCTGGAGTCAAGCCCAGCTCGTCCCCCAGGAGTGGGGCCTCTGCGGTGACTGGGACGCCCTGCGGGGGACGGAGAGGCAGCCCGAAGCTGGTCAACATCTGTGGGCTGTCAGGTGCTAGTATGTGCTGTGTAGGCAGTGTGCATGTGTGATCAGTGTGACTGGCTCCACAGCCCGTTTCACAATGTGGTACAGACACTGAAACCCACACTTGCGCGGGGTGAGATGAATCATGTTGACACTGAGGATCTCAAGCACTGCTGATAGATTCATGAGCTCCAGTGAACGAGCTGCTACGCCAGCACAGCGGCGCTCACATTCTTTTGTTGGCAGCAGCATGAAAAGGCCTTCAGTGCTTTTCCATGAGGCTGGAGGCGACTTTCGTGTTGGCGTGTCCCTCCTCAGGGCGCTTGCTGCCTCTGCCTTCCTGTGGACATAAAACAAGGATGTCACGACAAAGATCCTCATAAGCTGTAGTTTGCTCGATGAAATCCAGTAACTGATAGAGAGCTTAGTGCACTGTGGCTGTCAGTGCACCAGTTTTCACAGTTGGCCACTGAATATCAGCACTGTTTAAACACAAAAATCAGCAGTTGGTGTGGCCACGCTGTATCTGAAACCTCCCCAGTTCTCCTGAGCACAGGGTTTCCAGGTGCGTGGTATGTGCAGTAGGTTGTTCCAGGGTCTCGGAGGACCTGCCACTGTTCTCTGGAACATCTAGGTGTCTTCGGTTTCTTCACATGAGCCCAACCCGACTCCATGGCGCCGACATCAGGGACTCCTTGTTCTTGTTGTTGCTGAAGATAGTCACTTATGGCTCGAGAGGGGCGGCTGTGCCTTAGGAGGTAAAGTGGATCATCTCATAACCAGGAGGGTTGGCAGTTTGATTCCCGGCTTCTCTGTTCCACCTGTCAAAGTGTCCTTCAGCAAGACACTGAACCCCAGGTTGCTCCCAGTGATATCACTGGTGTCAGAATGGGAAGTAGTGTAGTGCACTTCATTGCTGTATACGACCATTTAGCTTTACTCTGCATGTTCGGGGGTGAGGACCAGACGTCTCCATGATGCGTGTAAACATCTAAAGTGCTTTACCTTAAAGGAATTGTTTGTCCCATGTCTCTGTTTAAGGGCACAGTTTAGGTTATCCAGAAAACGGGGAGAAGCTGCGAGGCGTCCTCTGTCCTGTCAGCACCTCTAAAGCTCACATACTAACTTGTTACATCTGATTGGTTTAATCCATACGAAAACAGAAGTGTAGAGTAACGCCAGGCCGTTGGGGGCTTCTCCTGTATGCCAACCTCTTCTTGGCTACGGGTGGTGACCTTCTGGAGTTTCTGCTGGCTGCCTCCTGGTGACCAGACACCTGGAAGTCACTGTTCCTGGCAGCCTGCACCGCCCACCCCCCCTAGAGCCACAGCTTGGTTTTACATTTATTTTTGTATGAATTACCAGATGAACTCTTTTCAGTTTTTATGCTCAGCTGAATATCTTTTGGCTCCAACTTAAGAGTTCTCAGTGGATTTAGACCTACATACCTACATAAACGTAAAGTGAAATCTGAATCAGAGATGCTTCTTTTGTTAGAACATTTCATTGAAGCTTTGTCCTTATCTTAATAGAATTTGCCACTTGGTCTGAGTAACTTGATGCTTGAAACTGGAATTAGAATTATAAAGCTGTTTGATCAACACTGACAAGTACAAAACTGCTTTGCATCTTATAAATGCACTTTTTAGTCTAGCTCGTTTTAAGATGTTGTGGGTTCCTTACACTAGATGTTTCTAAAGATCTTAGCAAGTGAAGCTGTCCTATTCCTTTATCAGGGAATTGATTTCGAAGTACTTGCCCAAGTTTTCCTTTTGAGCCAAGTTTCTGCAGTGCACATTAAGTTTAGTCAGTTACTTGGTAAAAGTTGTGGCAACATTTGACTTCATTTTACAACAGACTACATAAATGTTCATATTAAACCCATTATCCTTGCTACACTGGTTCATTTCAGAGTTTCTATTCCTGTGTTCTGTGCAGCACAGCCATGAATCTGCACAGACACCAACTGTTTATGGGCTCAGCAATATCACTGACCCACATTAGCACAGCAAGACAAAAGGCATCAGGCGACGTGTTGCAACACTGAGCAAGCGATCACTGATGCTTTGTCCCTTCACAATGCATCTTGCAGAAAATCATGTGCTTCTCTCATTAACCCAACGCAGCCACAGCAGCCTGTTCACTTCAGTGACACAACTAGTCAGTAAATTGTGTGTCAGTGGCCGACTTCAGCCCCAGACTGTAATTAATGTGAGAAACTGAATGAGGAATCAGCCTTGGAGCTACATGACACTACAAAATGTCTCACTTTGGAAAACCTGTGGTTGAGCTTTTGGCTCAAACCCA